TGACCCAAACCCGCCCCTATGGATTTAGTACCGTAACCGGCCAGTAATCTGAGATTACCGAAGGCCTGCTTAACGGAAGAACAGTAATACAGAGAAGGAAAGAAAAGGAAAACTGTGTGAAAAATATGTACTTTAAGAAAAGATTCATTGATTGAGGGGGAGCCTCCGCCTTTACTCACCAAATACCCCTTGATTCCTAGTGGTTTGACTTTCCTTTGTCGTGCTTAAGATTCTCTTGTCGGAGGTCCATCTTTCAGATCACTACTAGGATTGAATCTAGTGTTTGTCGAACTCCAAGAGTCACACACACACTTTTATCATGGGATCTATGCTTTTCACATAATGCATCACTTTCTTTCATGAGGAATTTTCTACAGACTGTGCACATTGTGTTTACTAGTAATTGTGCTTCTTGGATAATCTTGTGTGTTTTAAGGTACAAATCTGAAATTCCTTGCTTGCTCCACCATATTATTTTTTGTCGTTTTCTTCTTGTTCACTGTTTTCAGTATTTGTGGGTGATTTTAGTGAGAGGGAGTTTGGTTCATCTTGATTTGGGTTGGTAAGGGAGTTTGTGTTTGCATTGCAAGAGTTGTTTAGCATGAACACGTTGATATGTTTGGTAAGGGAGATTGGCTATATGTTTTGCATGTCACTATGCACTGTTTGCCCTTCTTGTATATTCATGGTATTTACATCGTCATATCATTGCTTGTGTGGTTTATGATCTTGCTTTTGTTGTTTGAGAGTTGTTTTTTTCATGAGTCTTAGTTTTCATCTATTCATGTTTTCCATCTCATGTTACAAGTTAATCGTGTCATATGTCTATTGCTTTTTCATATACTCTTGTGGGACTAATAGTTTGTTTTGGAGAGTGTGGCACTAATAACTGTTTTGCAGATCAAGACCTTGAGAAAGAAGTTGGCTTTTGTTGGCTGTAATGGGTTGGGGTGTTTAGGATTTTATTTGTTAGGTGTGTTTTGTCACGGCATTGCCAAAGGGGGAGATTGTTAGGTTTTATTCTTGGCAACCCCGTTTGACAAAACTCCTTGCAGTTGTATTTATTTTCGCTCTTTTATTTCAGTGAGACTATGAGTGTTTAGATATGAATCCAACCTGAATTGTGCTTTTCAGAGAAGTTTGTGATGCTAATGCTTTCAAGATTGCCACTTCGCTGATTATGACAGGGATCGAGCTGCCCGGTCAGCTCGCGGGGGTCCAGGGGGCAGCGCCCCTTGGCGGGTCCGGGGTAGCGCCACGGCGGGGTCGAGGGGCAGCGCCCCCGAAGCAAAATGCAAAAATGCATTCAAAATTGCCTGTCTGCTCGAGCGGACATACCCGCGCTCGAGCGGAGAATCCCTAGTTCCAGCAGTTTGTCAGGTCTGTGAAAATACTGGAATGTGTGATTTCGCGCTCGAGCGGGCTTTCTGGCGCTCGAGCGTACCTCTGGTATGTCATGCGCATATTTTGCTGAAGCCGCTCGAGCGGGCTGTTGGGCGCTCGAGCGGAGATCGCGGGACAGATTCTATAAATTCGCGTGTTGGGTCAGATTTTAGGATTACTACTCCAGATCTAGTTTTTGGGTTCTAGGGTTTATATCTGGGGATACTTTGGGAGTTTTCTTTGATGTTTTATTGAGTATTCAACTCATGGTTTAAAGAGAGTACATCAAAGGTTGTGTTTTGTTCTACAAAAGAGAGAGTTATTCTTCGGTGGATTCTGAAGAATTCGAGCCTGAAGCTTTGGTGGATTCCGAGGTGGCTTATCGTAAAGACAATTCCGAGGTGAAGACGGGTTGGAAGAGGCACATAGAGGTTGGTTCAATTAGGCGTGGATTCGCTAGGTAATTGAGAGTATACTTGTGTAATTCCTTTAAATCTTCTTAGTGGATTGTTTTTGTGGCTATTGCCCGTGGTTTTTTTATCACAGTTGGAGGTGTCCAATTGTGGTTTTTCCACGTAAAATTGTTGTGTCTCTTTGTCTTGATTGTTTGATTGTTTGATTGGGATTGTTATATTCTGCTTAAAATTGATACATAATCACAAATCAACATCTATGGGATTTCTAGATTTTTCAGGTACCCTGAGCCTCACGTGCCTCGGTCCTTGGACTCATGTGAGGCCATTTGTATGCTTGTTGATGACTATCTTAAAACACCTAATCACTCACTACTTCATTGTGATTTCTTTTAGAAAGTGTGGTGTAATTGTCTAAATTTGTGGCACATGAAGTGGGTAATACCACCAAATTTGAAACATCTATTGTGTTGTGTTGGTTTGGTGGTTTGGTTTTCAGATTTAAAAATATTAAGAAGCTATTTTGGGAGGTAACTCTGATAGCAATTATTGTTAGCTGGATCCAATGGAAAGCCAGAAATGACCGAGTGTTAAATTGTGAATTTTATTCTTGCAGCAAGGTGTTGAGCTGGTCAAGGTTCCCATTACTTAATGGGTCAAGAAATATTCTAATATTTCTTTGGGCAAATTACACAAGTGATCTCTACATTTTGTCTCTTGTGTCATTTTGGTTCTTATATTTTCAATTTGCTTAATTTTGATTCTTAATTTTAGATTTTGTGTCAATTTGGTCCAATTAATAATATTGTTAGTGTTTTTGATAAAAAATGATCACTGAATTTGTTGAGTGTAACGTGTTGAGTTGAGTAAGTTTATAATTTTGCTCTCAAAACTGTGACACATGCCACCTTTTCTTTTCTTTTTTATCGGCAAAGAAAACTTTATTGATGAAGCACGTACAAAGTACAATAGAAAACATCAATAAACAGGAGCTTGGAGCTAGAACGAGCTCCAACCTCCTAGTTGGTGAGGAACCAACAAACAGAGAGAACAAGAAAGCAAGATAAAACCATCAAAACAAGCAGCAAAGCAAACTGCAGATCAAAGTCAAAAAAAAACCAAAACATTGCACTGCACTGCACTGCATAGAAACCATAAAACACCCAGCAAACACCAGAAAGAAGGCAGCAGCAAACAGATCAGAGATGGAACAAACAGACTTCAATACAAGACTTCAACAGAACCAGAGATGACACATGCCACTTATATGCTTATATTTCATAAAAAAATACTGAGAGTTATAATCAATTAGACCAAATTGAAATAAAATCATAAATTTAGGGTCAAAATCGAATTAATTAAAATTATAAAGACCAAAATAATACAAAGAACAAAATACAGGGACTACCGTTAGAATTTTGCCCTATCCCTTTTAGTTTAGCGAATGCTTTCATTCATTCATTGGAAGGGGGTATGCAAATTGAAAATGAAATTAGCTTAGCAAAGTTTGAGGTAGCTTGATTGTTTATCTTTGATCTCTTTTTGTATAGTGGTGATCAAGGTTCTGAAAAAGCGGTTGCGGTCGTCGTAACGGTAGCGGTGACGCGGTTGCGGTTGCGGGGTGTAAAGGCCGTAGTGTAACGGTTGCGGCAACCGGAATCGTGAATTTTTTTATTTTTTGCACAATTTGAAAAAAATTTACCGATATACATATTTTTTTCCATGATCATATTTATTCGATTAAAAATAAATATTGATCAATTTTTGTAAATTTTTAAGTATGATCTAATATATTTCATATTTTTAAATCACTATAAACTGAGTTTTTTAATAATTAATGACTTTATATTATACAAAAAATCAATCACTAACTATTATACATAAGATAAACAATCACAAAAGTAAGAGAATAAATAAAAATCTAAATATATATATATATATATATATATTTTAATCAAGCCAAATAAATAATGACTACACTTATTATTATTATTATTATTATTATTATTATTATTATTATTATTATTATTATTATTATTATTATTACTATTATTATTATTATTATCAAACAATATATAGATAGACACACACAAACAAAATGGTTTAGTGATAGCAGCTGAATAGAATAACATAGGTCATACAGCTTCAACAAATCAATACATGTTCTTCATCTTTCCTTTTCTCTCTCTCTCTATCTCTTACTCCTCCATTTTCTCTCTTTATCTTCTCTCTTCCCCCATTTTCAGTTTTTTTTTTTTTTTTTTTTTTTTTGTGTTTTTTCGAAAGAAACAGTTTGAACCGTTACGTAACGGTGCATAACAAGCCGTTATGGCTGTTACGGCACTGTTACGACTGCTACGGCAGCCGTTACAGTCGACACACCTGTGAATCTCAATCACATTGCAAAAGCGGCCGTAACGGGTGGCAGTAACCGCCAAAACCGTTACGTAACGGCGTTACATAACAGTTGCGGCCGCTTTTTAAAACCTTGGTGGTGATATTGTTTTTTCTTTAATAAAATTTTCTTTCTGCCAATCCCCATCCCCCCACCCTCAAAATAAAAAAAAACCCACGCTGCAATGACACATAACTTGCATCATGGTACACAACCATTGTATGTACCATAATATTATTATGAGTAATGACTGAGACTCTAAGATTTCATAAATTTGAATCATTCATAATGTGGACCCTATATATATATATGAGTGGATCCTACACATATATGGAGGGTCAAGATTACTTTAAGAGTGTGGAGGTCATTCCCAAAAGGGATCCTAAACATTTCTCTATTATTAAATAGCCAGTTCTGTTTTATGCTCTAATGGTAACCCATGCAAAAGTAGAAAGAATGAGAGGGGTGCTTGAAAGAAAACTCACAAGAATAGATTAATCGTTGCCAACGATTCAGGCAACTACCACTTGGGAATGTTGACGCCGTAAAAGCCATATCTTCCAAGGCGTAATGACCGTAGAGTTTTGACGTTGCTAATTCCGGATAGCGACCAATCAAATTCAAAGCTATATCTGCTTGTCAACAAAAATGAATTTGCTAAACATCATCGAATTATTTGGCTAAGCAGTTCATCTCTTATGTCTTTTCCCATGTTGCATGCTAAGCCTCAATTTGTTTTAAATATAATGGGTCTTATATAATAGACCTACTTTCATGGTATTAATATACATAAAAAAAATAAATAAATAGATGAAATAATTCTAATAATTAAAAACAGTTTTCAAGAAGAAGAAAAAATATTATGCGTCAACTTATGTCTTACAATCAGGTACTCATACTTCTAAACAAGTATTTCTAATTCATATCTTGGATAACTATCTAAGCTCGTAAGATTCATGACTTCTAATAACGATTTGTTTGTTTCAATGAAAAGCAAATGTCTTTTGGTATTTGGTGTGATAAAAATAAAAATTTAGTAAAAGCTTTATTTATTTATTTATTTTTGGGAGCTTTTTTGATAAATTCATTTTCTAAGAGCTTTATTCCATCCAACCCATATTCTTTTTGACTATTCCATTAGGTCCAATTTGAGATAAGAAAACCAAAATACTCTTTTCATCTACTTATATTCTATTTAGTTCACATTATTATCTTTAGTTCACATTATTTTCTTATGTTTCAATAAGTCCTATGGGTGACATAATTACCAAAATACCCTTAATGTGAATGTTCACACCGTCAATATAAATGTTAATATCGTCAGTGTGTAGGGGCCCGGCTTATGTCGATCCTCGTGGGTGCCCAGAAAAATTCGAGTCGGGCCGGGCCAGACCACAGGCCAAAAAAATAGGCCTGGCCCGGCTTGTTGATAATGTGAATATTCACATTGACAAATTAACATTTACATTGACAGGAGTGTAAAATTGGCCCGCGGCCCGTTGGCGGCCCGAAGCCAGCCCGCTGCCCGGGGCGGGCCCGGACCGGCCCGTTCATAATGTGAATATTCACATTGACATATTAATATTAACATTGATAAGAGTGTAAAATTAGCCCGCGACACGTGGGCAGCCCGAAGCCCGGGCCCGGGCCGGCCCGTGGGCGGCCCGAAACCAACCCGTCGCCCGGGGCGGGCTCGGGGCGGCCCGTTCACAATATGAACATTCACATTGACATATTAACATTAACATTAACATTGACAAGAGTGTAAAATTGGCCCATAACCCGTGGGCAACCTGAAGCCCGGGCCCGGGTCGGGGCGGACCCGGCCCGGTCCGTTGACAATGTGAATATTCACATTGACATGTTAACATTCACATTGATAGGAGTGTAAAATTAGCTCGCGGCCTGTGGCCGGCCCGAAACCCGCCTGCGGCTCTTGGGCTGCCCTGGGCGGGCCCGGCCCGACCCGTTGATAATGCAAATATTCACATTGACATGTTAACATTCACATTGATAAAAGTATAAAATTAGCCCGCACCCCGTGGCTGCCCGAAACTAGACCACGGCCCGTGGGCGGCCCGGGGCGGGCCCGACCCGGCCTGTTGACAATATGAATATTTACATTGACATATTAACATTCACATTGATAAGAGTGTAAAATTGACTCGCGTCCCATGGGCGGCCCGGGGCGAGCCCGGTCCCCGGGGTGGCCCGAGTTTGGGTCCGGGCCTACCCCGGGCCGCGGGCAAGCAAGTGTAAAATTGGCCCATAACCCGTGGGCAACCTGAAGCCCGGGCCCGGGTCGGGGCGGACCCGGCTCGGCTCGTTGACAATGTGAATATTCACATTGACATATTAATATTAACATTGATAAGAGTGTAAAATTAGCCCGTGACCCGTGGCCAGCCCGAAGCCCAGCCCCGGGCCGACGCGGGGCCGACCTGTTGACAACGTGAATATTCACATTGACATGTTAACATTCGTATTGATAAGAGTGTAACATTAGTCCGTGCCCCGTGGCTACCCGAAACACGCCCACGGCCCGTGGGCAGCCCGAGACGGGCCCGGCCCGGCCTGTTGACAATGTGAATATTCACATTGACATGTTAACATTCACATTGATAAGAGTGTAAAATTGACCGGCGTCCCATGAGCGGCCCGAAGCCCGTGGGCAGCCGGAGTGGCCCGGGTTTGGGCCGGGCCTACCCGGGCCCGAGCGAGCTTCGGGCAGCGGACAAGTTTTACACTCCTTCAATGTTAATGTTAACATGTCAATGTGAATATTCACATTGTCACGGGTCGGGCCAAGCCCGCCTCGGGCTGCGATCGGGCTTCGGGCCGCCCACGGGCTGCGGGCCAATTTTACACTCCTATCAATGTGAATGTTAATATGTCAATGTGAATATTCACATTGCCAACGGGCCGGGCCCGCCCTGGCCCGAGGTCGGGCTTCGGGCTGCCCACGGGTCACGGGCCAATTGTACACTCTTATCAATGTGAATGTTAGCATGTCAATGTAGAATATTCACATTGTCAACAGGCCGGGCCGGGCCGCCCCGGCCGTGGCCGGGCCGGGTGGACGGGTTTCAGACAGCCACGGGGCGCGGGCTATTTTACACTCCTATTAATGTGCATGTTAAATGTCAATGTGAATATTCACATTATCACGGGTCGGGCCAAGCCCGCCTAGGGTACGGGGCTTCAGGCCGCCACAGGCTGCGGCCAATTTTACACTCTATCAATGTGAATGTTAACATGTCAATGGAATATTCACATTGTCACGGCCCGGGCCAGGCCCGCCCCGGGCAGCGGGCGGGCTTTTGGCCGTCCATGGGCCGCGGGCCAATTTTATACTCTTATCAATGTGAATGTTAATATGTCAATGTGAATATTCACATTGTTAACGGGCCGGACCGGGCTCGCGCTCGGGCCCCAATGGCCGCGTACGGGTTTCGCGCGCGCCACGAAAACGAGGGCCAATTTTACACTCCTATTTAATATGAATGTTAACATGTCAATGTGAATATTCACATTGTCAACGGGCCGGGCCGGGCCGATCGGGCTCGCCCTGGGCTGCTTCTTAGTTTTATACTCTTATCAATGTTAACATTCACATTGGTCAAACAGGCCGGGCGGGCCCGCCCACGGGCCGTGGGCGGGTTTCGGGCAGTTACGAGGCGTGGGCTAATTTTACACTCCTATCAATGTGAATGTTAACATGTCAATGTGAATGTTCACATTGTCAATGGGCCGGGCGGGGCCCGTCCCGGGTGCGGACGGGCTTTTAGCACCCATGGGCCGCAGCCTAATTTTATACTCTTATCAATATGAATGTTAACATGTCAATGTGAATATTCACATTGTCAACGGGCCGGACCGGGCCCCGCCCGGGCCGCCCATGGACCGCGGGTGGTTTCGTGCCGCACGGGACGGGGGCCAATTTTACACTCCTATTAATGTGAATTTTAACATGTCAATGTGAATATTCACATTGTCAACGGGCCGGGCCCGCCCTGACTCGCGGGCGGTTTCGGGCCCGCCCACAGGCCAATTTACATTCCTATAAATGTGAATTTTAAAATATGAATGTTTACATCATTAAATTGCTAATCGTTGAAAAAATATTTATAAGGGTATCAAAATTAAATATAAGGGCATAAGTGTCCAAGAAAATAGTGTAAATCAAGAAAATGGACTTTATGGAATAAAACTATACATACATGGGACTAAATGGGTTAAAAAATTCCTTCATGGACTTTTTGGGTTAAAACACTTCTAAATTGGACTTATCAATAAAAATATCTTTATTTTTTTGGTCAATACAAAAAATAATTGACTATTTGAATAGAAAATATTTTTTACGTTTTTAAAGGTGAAAGACATCTTCCCAGTTCTACCACTAGCACATTGTTTTTAGAATTGCAACAGATAAAGAAAATGTTTTGTATGGATGTCATTTTTCTGAAACTACTTTCTGCAAAAAGTATACATGTATATTTTTTAAAATAAACAAATGAATAGTGTACGGGGAGCAAATATTCAGGCAAGCCCGCACTCTTTTCTTACAAGCTCCTGACTGTCCAATCGACCTGCGAGCACAACGGCGGTGAGCTACCCAGCGGTGTGTGGCCGGAATACCCCTTCGACGATCAAGTTAGACACACATAGGGATAGAGAGAGAGAGAGGACTGAGTTGTGTTTAGTGTATGTCTCACCAAATGTGCATCTGTCAAACATGGGGGCCGCAGACATGCTTATATACCTTCTGCGCCCCAAACCTACCCTCAGCGCTCTCTCGACATGTGGTACTGCTATCCCATCCGTCAGCACAAATCTTGCTGTACATCACCCAACCCAACTGCCAGCCCACTCTGCTGGGAGCTCGGCAGCCGGGGTTCAGCATCACGGTTGCAGACATCCAGGCTGCACTTCATGCCCAAGTGTAGCAATAGTCGAGCTCCGTTCCTATCATACTCGACTGCATTCCAGCGAAGTCAAGCTCTAGAAAGGTCACGCTGATCAACCAAAGGCTTTCCTGCCGAACCAAAGGTGCGTGCCTTCTGGCCGAGCAACGCAAGTTGCACGGTTACCACAGGTGCAAGTAGTTCGGCCACGGGCTGAGCAACCCAACTCTGGGAAGATCCTAAGCTATCTCGGCCCAACACGCCCTTGGGTCTTCAACTTGCTCGGCTTTTATCTCGGCCCACTTCCTACTCATAAATCTCCCTCTCAATTGCCCCTTAATTCCATCCGTGCAAGCGTGACTGGGATTATTACTCCTGACCGGGGGTAACCTTTCCTCGGTCTTCGATTTTGCAAGAGGTCAACCGAGCTAGTTTTCTTGCTCGGCTCCTTGATTTACTTGGTCGACGACTCGTCTGGCCTTCCTGTCTCTTCAACTCTGACGCTGCCATTAATGGGGGCACGTGTCTATCTCTTATTGGCCCTCAAGCAGCCAACCCCGCCGTCCCCTCAAATTTGAATTTGGGCCGCTTCTTCCCCTCTATAAACATGCCCCTTCTCGCTTCCTTTCATTCCTACTGCCTCTCTTCAAGCCTTCGACGTTTCAGAGCTCCAGCATCCCCAGCAAAACTTTGTCGCTGCCATTCCTTGCATTTGTGGTCGAAGAAGT